GTCGGGTTCGCCATTGTGATCGGTCAATGAACTTCCGCGTTCCATCACATTGTGAGCACGGGCACTTGTAGGGGTCACCAAAGTTCATTCAAAGTCTGAGCGCTGCGTAGTATAGGACTCCGGAATGGGGGGAGGATTATTTTTTTTAAAGATACACTCGGGGGAGGGGGGGGGGGGGTAAAGGCAACACCAGGGGACAAAAACTGAACTTGGAAGCAAATTTTAGTATTCTAAATTTTTTATTACATCTAGATCTAGATCTAGAAAACTCTCTGCAAAACGCGTGTTGGTGCAGGCCTTGTGTGGACTCGGGATCCGTCATACTCTTTCCTTGTAAACTCTGCAAAGACAAAAGGCCAAGGCTAGGCCTAAGTCATCCAAGGCCCTCCTTTTCTTCCTCTTTTCTTCTTTGCTTCTGTTTTTTTTTTTTTTTGGTTTATTTGTGTGTGTGTTCATGCAGGTATGAATAGGACAGGAACTGCACCAACTACTGATAGGGTAAATGCCTCTGGTAGTTTTCATATTTGTCTTTTTTTTTTCTTTGTCATTATCTACATTTGTTTGAAGTCGCAAACACAATCATGCATATTTGGTGTGGGTCAAAATAAAATATTAAGAAGGGTCCCAAATTAAGTATGCGACAAGAGGTAATATAGCCGACTACAGATTTTTTAGGTCAACTACAGATTTTTGGACAAAAATTTGCGTCCAACTACAGATTTTGGCCCAGGCAATGTTGGCAGGTATGGGTGTACGTTCACCGTTATCCTCTACTCTAGGCCAACTAGTGTAGCGTTCACCCTGAACCACAGAATTCTACACTGTGATAACAGTATTGTAGAATTCTGAGCCATGTTCCAACGCTCTTGTGTACTACTCTGTTAGCCTAAAAAAAGCGTTGCCACATTTTGTCTGTGGGCCGTGGAGAGAGAGAGAGAGGAGTAGCGCGAGAACTTCCGGGCAAAACAAAATGGCGACCTGTGTTGTTCGGCTCGATTCGAAAAGTTAAATAGCCGTAGCAGGGAAGATAGAAGAATACCGGACCACTCGTACATTATTGCGCGAGAAAGTGGGGTGGGTGGTTGGGAGGGGGGGTTCAGGGGGGTCTCCCCCCTGACAAAATTTTAATGAATAGATCTACCTGTCCGAGATTCTCCATTGAGAGATATTAAAAACGGGAAAATTGTGAATTCCTATGGTTGAGACATAGGCAAAGTCAGTCCGCTGGTCCGGTATTCTTCAATCTTACCCCGTAGCATTTTTGTAGACGACTAAATTTTAATTTACTTTTGTGTTTTAACATCATTTTTAAACTTTGGTTAATTTGATCGTCCTCTCCGATAGACAGTGTATTCAGAAAGAGACAGAGAGAGAGGGGAGGAGTAGATCTTGCGAGAACTTCCGGGCAAAACAAAATGGCTACCCCCGTAGTTAGGCTCGATTCGAAAAGTGAAACAGCCATAGCATCTTAATAGACGACCAAATTAGAGCGAGCTTACTTTTGTGCTATAAATTTTCTTTGCTTTTTTGTCAATTTTATCATCCACACCGATAGCAAAGATAGTACAAGACAAGATGGGTCACTTCTCTCTTTGAGCCAATTAAAAAAGTGTCCTCAAAATTTGGTGGCGCCCTCTTCACAAAAGCGCACTCTTTGCGAATAGAGTTACCCTACTTGAGTTTTAAAAAATCAAAGTGAAACTAGCAAGTTTTGGGATAAATTTCGGAAGAACGCTTTTTAAAAATGGTTACGCTGACAAAAACCTCTTCCGGAGGAAAAGGAGATGGTTTTCTTCGTTTAATTTGACTTTAGAATGAAGGGCGAGAGGACATTAAAATAAAAAAACCCCTAAAACTCCGCACTGAACGTACCCGAACTGCTGATGAACAGCAGTCGATCTGCGCACGCAAGGAGGTGCTATTCCTATTCTTCTTCTGGAAAAACGAAAGAGAGCTTCAAAACAGACTGCAGCGCCATCTGAAGCAAAGAGCATACTTCCTGCGGACACTTTTTAGGCTGAGTGGCCCATCTTGTCTTGTACTATCTTTGCCGATAGACAGCATTCCGAAATTAGGAAAAACAGGTCTTGTTTCACACCGGGTGAGAAAAGTGAAAAGCCAAC